TTAGGATCTGTGACTGATGCAGTGGAAGATTAACATGGAATGAAAAGAAAGAACTCTGTCGTTTAGTATAGTTCTGTTGACATGTTAATTTTCAAATCATAAAAACTGTGCTGAGAAACTATATAAATCCAAGAATGGGTTTATTCTAATTTACAACCGCTTCACCAACTGATTAACCTAGAAATGAACGTTAGTAACACACACTGTGAGAATCATGTTCTATCACTATGTTTACTCTTTTATGAATTAAAAATTTTAGGGAGAAAAAAAAAAGAATTTAACATGGATTTTTAAATGAGTCTTTAAAACCGTTTCATTAAAATGTGAGTTGAAATGAACAAAAACATAAGTCTATAAATTATTCACCTTGTAATTTCGGGTCGACTTCACATAGACTAGAAAATTATATTCCGTAAATAAAACAAAAATAAATCCACTAGTATTTGAATACTATTATATATCCGAAATCAGAAATATTTGTGTTTTTTTTTGTTGTTGTTGATAATAATAATAATCCACAAAGAAAATCCTACATCCGTCGTACGACTACATAACGAACGAAATGAATATGTTACACTATGACGTCTGACCAGGGTCAACCCAAACGAATATAAATAAAACTAATCAACCAATAGAAATTTACGACAAAGGGGTGACTATCTCAACATCATACGTTTATATATATATACGCATAAAGCTAACTAAATAGACTGATCACGTGGGTGTAGACACACCAAGGTCATCTAGAATAAACTACAACAGACATATATGGCATATATATATAATATATATAAACAGAGAGAGTCGGCAACAAAGAAAAGAAAGCCTATTGGTTGATTGGTTAGTATTACATTACAAAATTAAACCAATTAAATCACAGAAGAGTGGATGAATGAAAAGTTTTATGTGAGAGGGCAGAGAGAATTTATCGATCGAGCTATTGTAATTATTAATATGATGATGATGATGATCTCTTTCTCTATCCACACAATCAATATTGAGGACTAATTTGTTCTAGATTAACAATTAATCAATAAAATGACTTGAACATTTCTGTGGATCACATTAATGAATGAACGAATGAATGATAGATGGATAGATGGATGGATGAATGGTAACTTCACCATGGTAAAAGTACTAATTATTCAATATTCTACTTTATTGTTGAATAATCTCATATTTTCATATTTGTTACAATCATGAATCGATTAAAATCATCAATCAATTTTTTTTAAATAAAACATTATTATTTTATCAGTATAGTGATTGTGGAGATTGTTAAGTTTATGATTGAGATCATGAACCGATTGATGTTAGACCACCATGGAAAACTTGGAAGCATTGGACGGCCGTTTCGTCCTATTGTGGGACTCCTCAGGAGTGTGTATCCACGATCCCACTCGCGGGATCCGAACCTAGGGCATTCAGACTCGCGTGCAAACGCTTAACCTACTGAACCACTGAGCCGGCATTCAATGGTGTTAATGTGTAATAAAATAGTTCAATTTTATAATGATAAGTAAGTGAGAAACTTAATCATTTATTAGTTTACAATAAGTAAACACGTTGATAATACTCTAAGACTATGAAATCAAATGAAACTAAGACAATGATCTATGGATAAATATATAACTGAAGAGATCATAACAACACAATGATAAATGAAAGTTAATTATCATTAACAATAGTTGTACCAAAATACAAAACAAACTCATAATTTGTTTGAAAGAAAAGGTTCGAATAAAATTGTAGCAATATAAAGGACTTAATATGGTTAAGCTTTTTAGCCCCTAAATACAACCGATGGTGAGGAAAACCCGTTCTCCCTCTCTAAATACTCTCACATGGCCATGCCTATATAACCTCTATCAGGGAAGTCATACTCAATACGTTCTCGTGGCGGGAATGTCGTTTACGAAATTCACAAGACGAAAAGCAAATGTCCGGTGCTTTAACCTGGTTGGTGAACACGGTGAGTCCAACTAGGGGAGTTAGAAAACCCTCATTCCAAACCAATGATGCACATGGACATTTCGTTCTGTTTTACTTTACGGCAGCGAAAAGTGGCCGTCAAGGGTAAAGGATACTCGTAAGTTACATGTCTTTGAAATATTGCTCGCATCTCCTGGGATCACCGGCTAAATAATAATGAGGTTAAACGTAAGGTATTATGGAATGATGGTAAATCAGTTGATGAAGTTGTGAATCTTCGTCGACCGAGATGGTCGGGCCACGTGTTGCATATGCCTAAACACCGATTACCACGATGCACAATGCTAACTTGTGTAGGGAATGGTTGGAAGAAAGTTGGGGGCGGCCAAACCAAAACGTAGCATCACACCTTGAAGTCATTAACTTCTGATCTAAACCATGTTGGTAGATGCAGACTACTTGGTTGAAGTCGGGCACCTCTATGGTTGGAGACTCTTAGTGACATGGCTCAGAATCTATCACAATGGTGTCGATATACACACTATCTGTCTTCCTTTAGACTATAAGATTAAAATCGCTTCATATCTTTCTTTCTACGAACTGATTCTTTCTTTCTGTACTATATCCTTATACGCAATCTTTCTTATATATATATATATATATATATATATATATATATATATATATGCCTAGTTCTACATTGGAGCTAATTGATTGACTACTAACAAATTTTATGTAAACTCTCTATGTTTAGATTTCGATCATTTATTCAATAATAAAATCCTTCAAAATGAGATCAGATTATTCATTTAAATATAAATCACTATTCCACAGGTTGAAATCATGAGTCAGTTGAAGCTAGACCACGATTGAAAACCTGGAAGCACTAGACGGCCGTTTCGTCCTGGTATGGGACTTCTCAGCAGTGCGCATCCACGATCCCGCACCACGCGGGGCTTCAACTAACTCATTATTTCAACCTGTGAAATTTCTAAAACTCTCCACAAAGCCCATTCTGATAATAAATCACTATTCATTCCAAATTTATTACACTGGATTATACTCCTTGAATAACATCTACAAACCCTAATTTTTCTGATTACAGTTTATAATCTTACTACATCTAGCACTACGGGATTTGAATCGACCACTGTATCTCTGTGCTAATGTGGTGTAGCAACTCGAACTGATGTACGTACGTACGAAGTTCTACGTTGGTACTGACTAACTCATTATACAAATATAAGAATTAGGTTAATTACATTAATGTGTAAAGTAGTACAAATGGTAGAATGAAATTGCAAAAATAAAAATATAATAATTTTAATCAATGAGAATATTCTACAATATGACGTCATTAAAAAGAATTAATTAATTATATAATGAACAAAATAATAGAAGTAATATAGAAGATATGCTTATGTTATATTATCATCAATAGAAAGTCAAATGTTAGTGTTCAAGTTGCCGTACCATATCTTCATATGACAAAACGAATAATAATAGTAGTGATAGTGACTAAGATTAAACCTTAAAGATATACTTCGGTAAAACATAGTGTATTTTATTTATTTCAACACATAGATATTGGTACAAGGAGGCACCAAATACATATGCATCACACAAATCTCATTCGATATTTGTGAGGGCTGTGATACTGACAGGGTGCTCAAACCGAAGCAGGTGGTTTTCTTAGATGGCCACATCCTGAGCCTTTGACCTGAAGGCCTGATCCACAAGGCAGTGGAGTATCGTAAGGAGATGCAGTCCCATGGAAGCCGGTGACCAACAATTAGTTCATACGCCATTCGTTCACTCAGGATACTGGAGCCCATGTGCACCATGGGTTTGGGATCCGGTTAAAGCGCCGGACATTCGCTTTTCGTCCTCTCATTTTCGTAAACAACACCCCGGCCACGAGAAGGCAATGAGTAGGACTTCCCTGACAGAGGCTATATACGCGTGGCCATGTGAGAGCATTTCGAGAGGGAGAGTGGACTCTCCCCACTCTCAACCGTACCAGGGCATTTGGGGCCCCCGAAACATAATGTATGAACGAATACTAAAATCCAAGATCTAGAGTGAATGTATCTACTGCATTATGACTAGATTTTGAGTAGTTAACCGAGTCTTCAACCATTGATCGCAGTTATCGCGCGAACCTTAACAAGGACCCACCTAATCACCGTGATTTATTTCATGTGTGTGTGTTGTATTTGATCATAAACAGAACGTCTGACACCTTAATCTAATAAAATTGTAGAAGTGTAACCAATGAGGTTCCGATAGAATGGCATCATACTCTCTTCTCACAAAACTTTAAGGACTTGTAGATATGAACCAAAATGTTGGGCGTTGTAAATATGTACTGTTAAAGAGTTTCAACTTAAAATGAAAAAATTATCAATTGCTTATTGATTTCCAATACTTTTTTTGACTGAGATCAATTCCAGATGAGGATTTTGGAATTGTAATAAAATTAGATGATCTTGAACAAAAGTGAGAATAGACTGAGTTCTACACATTAAATTCACTGTCCACCTATTTACATAAGATTACATAATTTCATGCACTAATTAACTTTAAAACAGAAGACAAAATAATTGCCAAAAAACCGCCCATTAGTACTACTTTTCATTACTATATGATGTAATAACTTGACTGGGATTATGCAAGAGACAAGTAATTTTTATGCTGTACATACACATACACAAGTATGAAAATGGTGTTCCGGATAATCCATATACACACACACACACCAGTACTGTTTGAACTAGTTGAATACAGTAGGACTTGAGGTGGCCAATAACAATGGCCTGGTGATGAGATGCATCCAACAATCGATAATCCGATAGCAACAAGTGGGTCCGCCTAATATGTTTTTTTTTTAAAAAAAATAAGGGATTTAATATTACGACTAGTCTTTACAGTATAAGGTGTAGCTCAAACCTAATTCAACAAATTGATGTTCAATTGTTCAGTTCTTGTTATAACTAACTATAGTACAAAAGAAACGAATTTTTTACATGAAAAAAAACAAACATCAAAGTAAAAGTTAAAAAGGTTACCTAAGAGCTGCTTGTGCTGATTGTATAATATGCGTCAATAAACTAAGTGAAGGTTTACGAATTTCCATAGGTAAAGCTAATTTATTACGTGAAATGAAAGTTGTATTGGTGGCGGCTACATGTGATGAATAATGTGCACGTAAATAATCAACAACACCCAGTGCAAAAGGATCCTGAAATATCAATAATTAGGTAAAAGAAAACTAATTGTCAATAAGTGATAAGTATTTGAAAAATATTAAAGAATATTGTAGTTTATATATGAATGCTTTTAACATTAAACTCCGCCTGTAGCTCTTCTAGAGTTACTGTCGGTCCCAAGCCCGGATAAAGGAGGAGGGTTGGGCATGGGGTTAGCGTCCCCCATCCCGTGGAAAACTAACTCGCTAAAAAACGCTTGCCAGAAAAAATAATTCAAACCATTTTTACTCTGCCCTGGGAGTTAGAAGGTCTTCATTTAGAAGAATTATGACGCTTCATGATGAAAGCCGAGTTCCTTCGGAAGCCACGAGGCCGATGCCCCTTCTGACAACCAGAGAAAAAAATTGTGTAGGTACATGGAACGTCCGAACAAAATTTTTTTTAACAGTAAGTGTTATATTCTGTGAAAGGTGTGCTTCAATAGCAAAACATTCCATTCTATCATAATCGACAAGATTATTAGGTAATTAGAAAAGAATGCAAATATAAGACAGTTCAATTGTTGACTTTGAGATGAGATTCTCTCTCTTTAGGTCAAGTTAACTTTCGAAAGTCATTTAAAACACTAAAGCAATAAACTATGTTTATATTATTAACATCTGAGTAACTTCGAAATGGACCTTATCTGTACTGCTTTCAACGATGATTTCGCCAAAATCGCTATTACTTCATCTAATGGCTTGCTTTCAGTTGTTAGTAGTGACTCAATTTCATGTGATAATAAGCAGAGATAGATAGTGGCCAGTAGTGGAATCCCGGATGCGCATTTCGTCCTATTCGGGACTCGTCATCTAGTTGTATCTGTATCCCAGAGTTGATGTTCACTCTGCGTCTTGGATTCCACTGTTAGACGCCATCTATCCCTGCTTACAATGCTTGTGACTTAATGCAATATCAAAGCAATTCGCACAGGATACACATATATCAAATGAGACTGACGCAATGCAATCCTAAACATCAGTCGGAAGATTAAAAGAAAACCTATACAAAAATAAATCATGAGATAATAGTTTTCTTCCACCTCTAGATCATAAGAACACATGTGATTTCCTTCTACATTCAGTTTTCATCAATGATGTAGGAATATATGCGACTCCCATAACTAACTGACTAGAAAACCACAGAAAGCCTGGACAAAAGTGAATCATACACTTTAACATGTGATTAGCCGCTTATTTATATGATGTTCATGGAGCTACCACACACTTCGGTGATCTAAATAGAAATTTATCTGGTTACAAAAAGTGTTCAATAACAATCATGTGAGCAGATTTGTAAAACGGTGAGATCAACACTTAATTCTATAATATAAGAATGACAAAAAAGATAGATTATTAACGTCTTGGTGAATTACAACGAACATACTGGAGAGCAGAAGAAATTGTTAACAAGACAAGATATCTACCAATATCGCTACCGAAGAAAATATCTAGTTGAGAAAAGCAATAGGTGGCAGGAGTAGACATTAGATAAATGCAATAAGTCATATATCAGTTAATAGTAATCAATGTGTGTTGGTCCAAGTCCCCACATTACAATAGTATAAACAAAATGTATGACAAAAGAGAATTTTATTTTATTTTATTTGGACACATATATATATTGGTACAGGAGTGCGCCAAACATATATGCGCCACACAATTTCAGTTCATTAATTGCGCGTGGGCTGCGTTACTGCCCGGGTGCCCAGACCGAAGCAGGTGGTTATCTTAGGGGGCCACTCAACGAGCCTTTGACCTAAAGGTCTAACCCACAAGGCAGTGGAGCATCGTAAGGAGATGCAATCTCATGGTAGCCGGTGACCAACGATTGGTTCATACGCCATTTGTTCCCGCAGGATACTGGTGGCCCATGTGCACCATTGGTTTGGAATCCGGTTAAAGCGCCGGACATTCGCTTTTCGTCCTCTCATTTTCGTAAACAACACCCCCGCCACGAGAAGGCAGTGAGTAGGACTTCCCTGGCAGAGGCTGTATACGCGCGGCCGTGTAAGAGTATTTCGAGAGGAAGGGCGAACCCACCCCGCTCTCGGTCATACCAGGGCGTTTGGGGGAATAATATAATAGTAATGATAAAACTATTGAGAACATGTTTTGATGAGACAAACTGAAAAGTTATGCATAAAGCAACATTGAAGTTGAAGATCTAGATAAAGGAGAAGAATAGATGAATTTGTGCCATTATGATCAACTCAAAGTCTTCAACGATTGATGAAGGTTGTCATAGGCTATCGTAATATAAGGCAAAGAACATCTATGTTTTTTTTTTATAAATTCTACCAGTTGTTAATATTCTTTTATGACAAAAATATGAAGAAAAAAAAAACACAACAAAACACCGTTATATAATCACTTACCGCTGTTATTTTATCATGAAAATGTTCAATAAACCATTGTGATAAAAATGATTTAATTGAAGTTTGAATAGATGCTAATGCAGCAGATGTATTAGTAGTGATCTCTGAATTAGTAGTTATTTGTAAACTATTAATCGTTGTTGTTTTATTTGAATGAATTACGTTTGTCATAGATACAATTAAAACTAAAGTTAAATCAATTGCATGATTTGGTGGTAATAATAAATGAATAGGTAAACGATTAATTGTACCAATGAATTTGTCATTCATTGATTCTGATAGATTGTTTAAAGTATTATCATGATTTAATATCAAATTAGTTGGATTTAACAAATTGGATACAGCAATTGATAAACATTCAGTGGTACCTAATAGTATAGGTAAGATAGCAGATCCATGTGTATTGGAATCATCATTAATACTGATTAATAATTCAATGAATTGTGAAAAATTTGCTGATACATTGTTACTATTATCATTAGAATTATTTAAAATATGTTGATGATTGTCAGAAATTTGTGTAGATGATGATAATGTACTAGGTTCGAATGATCCGTCAGATGTCATCAATTGAGCTGTATACTCTATACATGAAGCTATGAATAAATGACGTTGCTGTTGTAAATCTGTACCGTTTAGTAGGTTTAACTAAAGAAAATAATAATGAAAGAAGAGAAACACATGGAATATCTAAGGAGTGAATAAAAAAACATTATATAAGTAGTACATAAGTGATTATGCAACGTAGAACTTCGTACAAGTGTATATTAGTTCAAATTGTTACACCATATCAACACAGTAAGATGAAATTATCAAGACAAATGCCAGAGTAATAGAAGCAACTTAAATAACAATAGTAGTAGGATTGATTACGCATCCTTTGAATTTGGTTGCCTTGAACTATTTTCCAACCCAATCCTATAGCAGACATCGCATGTACTTGTACAAACCGATAAATTTTAAGTAGTAGGATGAAACACGCGTCCTAGTTATTACTGTTAGATATTATGATGCATTACTTTTTAGATCATTCACGTTGATCTATGTCGAATAATAGAGAGCCTATTAGAGTTAAATGGGAATGGTATAACTAAAAGCTAACTACAAAGTCACACCTCACGGTCAACATCTAATGTGGATTACCTCTTCGATGTATCAAGGTACTATGGCTGCTTTGAAGACCATACAACATAAGGGACATTATTACGGTAATATATTAGTAAAAAATAAGTACAAACGAATGTGTGACTATCAACGCATGAACCAGTCTATGACATACGATTCACTGATGCGCGTTAGATGTGATTGATGATCTGTACAATATTCAATGATCTAACTATCGAATGATTTGGCTATGACTCAGTGACATTTCATTGACGCTACAAATCTAATGAATTATTTCATGTTTATTTAGTCTAAGTATTCAATTGAAGTCATTCATGTTAAAGTGAACAAAAGAAGAATAGATACACATACACACATATATGTACACTTAATTCTATTTGCTCAAATTAATCCACTTCAAGATATGTATCACATAAACACATATATTTATTTATTTGAACATATAGATATTGGTACAAGTGGGCACCAAATGCATATGCGCCACACAAGTCTCATTTGATTTGTTTAAGGGCTAGGATACTGTTCGGGTGCTCAACTCGAAGCAAGTGGTTTTCTTAAGGGGCCCCACACCAGGAGACTTCGACCTAAATGTCTAATCCACAAGGCAGTGTGGCAATGTAAGGAGATGCAATCCCATGGAAGCCGATGATCAACAATTGTTTCGTACTCCATTAGTTCCTTCAGGATACTGGAGCCCACGTCCGTCACTGGTTTGGAATGAAGGCTTTCCAACACCCCTAAGGGGGACTCTTTGTGTTCACTAACCCGATTAAAGCGCTGTACATATATATATTTTAATCAATTTTCAATCAAATAAACATACATTTTTGTTTATTCAATTTTTCTCTCTCTTTACCTTTTGTCTTTCTCTCATTGAATCTCAGGTAAATCATAAATAGAAATGAAAATAAAAACAAACAAACTGTACAAATGTAAAGATGATACTTCAGAGAAAGTAAGAAAGAAAGAAAGAAAAGAAAAGAAAAGAGAAAAGAATTTTCCAGACAAATAAATCAGTCAACATTATACACAACCTTGATAAGTCAGTTTATAATTAGTTTCCTTTATTAAAGATAAAGATAAAGAGTAAACAATATAAGAAAGGCAATTTGTTATGTTACATATAAATTAGTTGATAAGATAATTAGTGTGTGTGTGTGTGTGTGTGATTTCTTCTAATTATTGATTATAAGTACAGAAAAGAAAATATATCACTCATTGATGAACACAATGATAGATATGTGTCGGTCAATGCTGTGGATGAGTTGAAGTTAAGCATTAACATTATTGAATGCTAACTGGTTCAGTAGTCTAAAGGATTAAGCAGTCGCTCGCGAGACCGAGATCGTGAATGAGCACTGCTGAGGAGTCACACACAATAGGATAAAACGGTCATCTAGTGCTACCAGATTTTTCAATGATGATCTAACTTCCATTGAATCATGATCTCAACTATTAAAATGATTAAAATATCCACAAAAACTATTTCATCCTAGTTATAGGAATCTCCAATAATAATGTTTAACAACTCCACTAAGGATCGAAACCAAAACTTTTAAGTTTTTATAGACAGTGCTTAACCTTTAATCTATTGAAGCGATATTCAATGGTTTGCATTGTTACTATCGGTCAATTCGCAATGTTGTCCAACCATTTTTTTTTTTATAAAAAAAGGGAACTCGTGGTTAATTGTTGTGGATTTTAATTGAACAAGGCTATTTACTAGGACTTCGATTATAAACTCTTGAAACTAGTCAATTACCGATAAGAATATAGTTTATATGAATGCTAATGATATTGTTCAGATGCTTCTAAACACTGAACGAAAAATGTCAATGGTTGAAGATTGAATGGTGTGTCTTGAAAGTATCGTGATACAAAGATCAAATTCAATAGTCAATATTTGTTCAAATTTGATCCGATGTTTATGTGATAATCAGTTTAAGTATTGTTAAAGGTATAAGAGCAGTTGTCACTTCTCAGTTACCTACACTGTATCAGAATACTTTCTTAGATTCATGGAAATTAAACTGAATTCGAGGTGATCTTGAAAACTGGAAGCTCAAATACAGAACCCAAGGGGAAACTATTTAAGCTTGATAATCGTCAACCTTTTTGTGAGTAGTTTTGAATATGTTAGCTCTATACTTTAAAGGCCTTTTGGTAAGTGATGAAAATTTGTCGTTTAACGTAAGATTTATTAGTTTTATGATTGATATTTCCCAAATTATTTTATCTATTATGAGAAGACAGTATTGCAGAAAGTACTAGTTGTTTAAGAGGAACACCTTATTGTCACTATACTTCAATCTATTAATAGTAAAAATTGATCCTTGAACGTTCACTTCTTGTTTTTAGTATAATTGTTCTCCAACCAATTTGATTAGAATGACAGAGAACCTCAAGAAAAAAAAACGTACCAGTTAATACAAATTAGTGTACATGAAAGCATTGTCAGTCAATCAGCTACAACGTAGGACCAATCACATGTATGCATCTGTCCAAGTTGCCATACCTCATTTACATAGCAAGATGAACACCGGATTCATAGAAGTAGTTAATTTAATGATGGTAATATATACAAAGAAAGATTGCAATAACGATATAGCACAGGAAGAAAGAATTAGTTCGTAGAAAGAACGATATGAAGTGATTTTAATCTCATAGTTTAAAGGAAGACAGAGAGTGTATATACCGACGCCATTATGATCGATTCTGAGTCATGTCACCAAGAGTCTCCAACTATTGGTTACGATAATTATGAAAATCACACCAACCAAGTAGTTAGCATCTACTCTCATCAATATGGCTCAAACTAGTAATGAAAGCATTATAGATATTAATTGCCTTAAAATTGAATAATATTGATTAAGTTATAATGAATAAATTGGCATTAACTACTTTCTTCATTAGTAATAATAATAATAATAATAAATAGAATCTATTCTATTCTATTCTGGAATAGATTCATGTCACGTTTCAACAAATTGAATTATACTTTTTTTTACTATGGTGTTCATTATTTATACAGAAATCAATGAATTACATGTTGAATATTCCAATGAAATAACAGTGTGTTTTGCTTTACTTTACTTTTCATTTTGAATGACAGTTAATACTCTAATTATTATCAGTAAGATCAACATATAGATAGATAGATAGATAGATAGCTGATGATGATGATGATTTATTGCATAATCAATGTTTGTTTGTTTGTTTGTTTGTTTGTTTTGAAGTAGAATAACAATGTGTTATTATAGAATCTAAGCCAAACTAAAGTAAACTAAACTAAACTAAACATTTTAGAATATTGAAAAAGAGTAATCGAAAATATCTAATGATTTACTGTTAAATGCGATGAATACCTCTTCGAAATTACAACAGTTAATCAATGGACTGTTTTTTGGGGTGTTGAGAGCGAGGACAATGAGAGAAAAAAAGAAAAAGATACTTAATAAAATAAAAGGTAACTGGGACTACAAGATTTCTCGATCTGTAAGGTAGAATAAACTAGACATTATGATTATGTCCAAATAGCAGACTGAATCCAACAATTTCGCACTCAAATGCCTTGGTACGGCCGAGAGAGGGGAGAGTCCGCTCTTCCTCTCCAAATGCTTTCACATGGCCACGCGTATATAGCCTCTACTAGGGAAGTCCTACTCACTGACTTCTCGCAACACCGGTGTTGTTTACCAAATTGACACGACGAAAAGCGAATGTCCGGAGCTTTAACCCGGTTGGTGAACACAAAGAGTCCACCTACGGGAGTGGGAAAACCGTCATTTCAAACCAGTGGAGCACATAGGCTTCAGTATCCTGAGGGAACAAATGGCGTATGAACAAATCGTTGGTCATCGGCTTCCATGGGATTGCATCTCCTTATATTGCTCAACTGCCTTGTGGATTAGACCTTTAGGTCGAAGTCTCCTGGTGTGGCCCACTAAGAAAACCACCTGCTTCGAGTTGAGCACCTGAGCAGTATCCCAGCCCTCAAACAAAATCAAATGAGATTTGTGTGGCGCATATGTATTT